GTTCAGGCTAGCTGTCAAACTTAGTGTTCCAGCTGCACATGCAGCTGTTCAAAGCCTGTGGATCATAGATGGGATCTGGAATGAAAAGCAGAGAGAAGACAGTTTTGACATTCAGCTCTGAACTAAATTTTAACATTCTGTCATGCATGAAATTCATACACTGTGTTACAAATAGGTTAAAACCCCAAATCAGGAGTTTTCAGAGTACTTGATAGAATTTTAACATATCAATATCTTTATTGGACCAAATTAGCATGTTTTACAGATGCCTTTATTACTCTCTTTAGGAAAATATGACTATTGCAAAACTTTCTGATAACTCTTCCTGGGCTCTTTCTCCCCATCAAGATGAAATCTGTTTTCTAGACTTTACTTGCCAAATATTAACTTGCTAAAGATACAACACAAATCACATTCTATTTATCCAATATATGAATAAGTATGAGTGGAATAAATTAATCTTTCACACTACCACAGCGTTTTGGAAGAAGCGTTTCCAACTATAGTACAAAGCAATAGTATGCCCACTTTTACTACAAGTTTCCAGTCTAAACTGAGGCATAAATATATCATGCTACAAGAGATTATGACACATTTTATTTAAATATAGACAGGAATGATTTGGGGAATACATATGTTTATGTGATTTTATAAAAAATAATGAAACATAAATTGAGAATTCTTTTTGCAATGGAAACACAGTATTTTAAACAATGCTCAAAATTAGCTCAGGAAGACTAGGCAGGCCGCTCTGGCCTGGTGCTAATGATTATGCAAAAAGGGCCCAGTTTCTTCAGAGCAAACTTCAGGCCTTCCAGTGAGATCCATGGTCCTAGTAAATTTTCTTCCCTTATTCTCATCTTTAGGATGGCATTTAGGGTCAAAAGGAATATTCGAGAGCTTCTTACACCAGGCGTGTGGCTTCAAAGATGTCTTCTCCTGCCTCCACTTTCACCACCAAATAATTTACTTTCTGCAAGATTCACTTTAGCTTTCTGTTTCTGTCTCCTAAATATACAACTTCACAGAAAAAAATACACTCAGGGCATGTTTACATGAGAAGTGAAGATGGCATCCAATCTGGATGTTTCTGGATGTTCAAGGGGGATGCCTCCGAGCAATCGTTATTGATTACTTCAGTTTGGAATGCTCAGCCCATGTGGTTTTACTTTGCAACTAGAAACTGGCTTCCTCACACATTCTGATAACCTGCCCTTCACGGAGACCCACAAGAAAACATTTCTATGAAGTTTCCATTTGAAAAAAAAATCAACAATCCAGACACAACACTTGAAGTCCTGGTGTTCTTTAAGTTTATATGACTCAGACTGGTGACTTTGATTGCTCAAATATGTGTCTGAAACTTTAACAAAACAAAGCTTCTTGTTTTTTTTTAAAATATTTGTTTGGGGTTTTTTTTGTTTTTCTTTTTTGTTTTGTTTTGTTTTTTGTTTTTCTTTTTACCTTAAAGAAATTTAGCAGTAAGAAAGTTATTTTTTTTTAATTGGAGAGAAATTTTCACACATTCTCACATGTAAATTAGTAAGTTTTTTTTTTATAAACTTAGGAGAAAGTTATCAAGTAGATGTAACAAACTGCATTAAAAAGAGAAAACATAACTGACTACTCCTTCCTGCCTTGGGGAGTTTCATGCTTTAGCCACTTGGGATATAAAGTTCATTGAATAGACTTCCATAAACTGGTGGAGTCCTCATCATAACACCTACACTACTTTTAATGACGATGAATATTAATTTTATTTTATAAGTTGAGTTTTCATTTTGTGTATGTATGTGCAGAAGTGGAGGATATGTACCTTAGAGAAGGTGGATCCCCTCAAGCCGAAGTTATGGGCCTTTGTGACCCACCAGATCTTGGTGTTGGGAATTGAACTCTGTTCCTGTATAAGATCAGCATTCCTAACCTCTGAGTGATCTCTCCAGCCCCAAATACAATTATTGTGGCCACATACTAAATCCTATTTGGACAGGGTGTATAAGTTACAACTTACTGTAAAACAGTATAAGATACCACTCATTTAACTGAATTTAAGTTAAATGAATTCTTTTAATCTAAATAAAACCATGCAAGAGGATCCTGTGGGTAGGAGGAGAGCATGGTTTTACAAAATGAAGCAAAGTAGTGGCTGAGATAAATAATGAATCATGAATAACAATAAATAATGAATGCTGATTTTACTTTGGCATTTGTTTTTTCTCTTCTGATAAATAAATTTGCTATTAATAAGCACATTATACTTCACTTCAAATAACAATTAGCAACATGATGCTTTCTCTCAAATCAAAATTTAATAGATTCAGCCACATCACTAGAATTCTATGTCCAACATCACTCTAATATCTGCACCTTTTAGTATTTTCAAACTCAAAAACCAGCATATGCCAAACTCAACCTCTGATCCTGAAGTAATATCCTTTTGCTCGAGTATTCACTCTACTCAGGCCAAGTGTTTGCCACGTGCCAAGTATTGCACTGTATTCTCTCGGTTAATGAACAACTTTTGTTTTCTTGGAGTTAAGGGAAAAGAATAAAGAAAAAAAATAAAAACATGACAGATGATGTGAGGATGGCGAATGATGGGTAACAAAAGTAGTTATGGAACAATCACAGCACGATGTCATGGAAATGCAGAAATGGCTTGTATAAGTAACCCTGAGGGTGAGCAGTGCCTCACTGGGTAAACGGAGACTTGGGGGCCAAGCAGGAAGACATCAGGTGATGTTTCTGACAGGCTGCACAACACTAAAATGATGGGCAGGTGAACAGCTACATGATCCAAGAGTTAACGGAATCTAAGGAGCAGTGAAAAGCAGCTTTTGAGGGTCAAAGCCATGAGAGATGGGAGCTGAGAGTCAGGGATTATGGCGGGCCCGGGAAATCACGTCTTAAAGGAGGGAACAATAAAGCGTATTCAACTTTCGGTCTTTGTGGATGAGGGGACATGATTTTCTGGGTATTCCAACAGGCAAACACAAGCTTATCAGTACACTGGATAAATGCTGGCCCAGACTCAAGAATACAGTACTACTGGAAGGCGTTTACATCACTACAAAATGTTGCAAATGTGTTGGAAGGAACTAAGTATGGATGTGGGACAGTAGCTTTTAGATTCATGTTTTATGGTCCTAGTCAGATATAAATGTGGACAACGTCAGAGTGAAGACATTATCTGCGCTCCAGAGATACTTGGAAGTTACGTTTATTTAGTGGAATTCTTGATTGAACTTTCAGTTTAAAGAATATTTGGCTTGAGCAAACTGATGACAGTGTAACAATAAAGTGGAAATGGGGGAGAATGAGGTTGACTTGGTTGCTTCTCAGGCAGTCATAGGCATACTGCCTGACTTTCTAGGAGCAAGCAAGCTGAGTCACAATTTTAAGTATGGATTTTGGAAACCAGGAGGGACTTGGAGTGGATCACTATGAAAAGCAAACACAATAGTAGATGAGAGACCATGAGTGTGCAATTGGATAAGAGGGGTCTTCAGACAAATGTTAGCTGTCCCGCAAGTTTCTCAAATCCCCATGTTTCCACTGTCATAGTGCATCAAGGTGCCTTTGCTGCTCTTCGCAGTTAGTGAGATGGTATCCTTTCTGCTTTCCACACCTCAGTTTCCTCTCTTCCACGTCTATCCCCTGTTCTCATGTTAACACTGGCATGTTACTGTAAACAACACATGTCTAATATTGTCATTCTTCAGCTTAAAGGCCGTTTACTGAGCCCCACTGCCTGTAGAATAAGATTATAGTATTCACCAAGGCCCGACGACTGCCCTGTAACTTACCCTTCAGTATCTCCTAACATTCTATTGTCTGACCCTTCTTGTACATCCTGTTTTCTTGGCTCTCTTCAATTCTTAGTTATCACTTACTCCCCTCTGCCCTAGTACCATCACACATACCTCTTAGTTAGGCTTAAAGATTACTGGATAGACCAGTAATAATTGAGGGGATAGTCTTAGTTTCCACAGTCATTGACATTATAACAAAATAAGACAATGTTTAGCTGATAAAAGATTGTCGATCGGCTAAAATGTGTATGCAGTAAACAATCAATTTGACAAAATTTTACACTGTGCAAATTAAATCACAGTTTCAATTTTTTTTTCCTTTTTTCATTGCACCACAGTGTGTGATTATTTAACTTTATATTTTGAGTGTGTATTTCTGCTACATTTCTAAAGCCAGAGGATTTAAACTTAAATGTTTATATAAGCACTTTGTTGCTAAATGAAAAATGGTTGGTGTGTGTGTGTGTGTGTGTGTGTGTGTGTGTGTGTGTGGTGTCCATGTGTGAGGGAGTACAAGTTCATGTACATATGATAGCCAGCGGTCAACCTCAGGTATATATTCCAGAAGCCATCTACTGTGTTACTAGAGTACTGGAGACAGTGTCTCCCACTGAGACCTGGGCTTGTTTATTGAGTGAGCCTGGCTGGCTAGTGAGCCTGTCTTTGACTCCTTAGCACAGGAATTATAAACCCATATGACTGTGCAGTACATTGGTACTAGATACTGAGCTCAGAACCCTGCGCTTCCAAATAAAGCACTGTTAACAACTGAGTTCTCTCTCTAGTCACTGATGATGGTTATTGTTAAAGTTCAACACAAACACAGCTATAAATGAGTGCATACATAGTGCAGGTAGACATATATATTCTATATTCTATATATGCTGTAGATGATATATAGTATAACTCTGTATACACACATGCAATTGTATTATGTCGTTCATATTTGTTTCCTTGACTAGACTTTACTCTACTGTAGGAGCAGAGTTTATAACGCATTCATTTCTTTCTTTGCGAAACTGGAGCCTCCAAAACACAAGCTAATTGAAACACTTACTTCCCCAAATAAAATGTAAGACCCTCCCCCTTGAAGTAAGTAAGTCGCCGTAATGGGATCGGAAGTCTACGTTCCCATTCCCCGGATGACAGAGAGGGCTCTCACATAGGAACGAGCTTTGAAATACCTACCGTCTTGCTGAGGTAACCTGTGCTGGAGTTCATGCACTGGAGCCCCTCACTGTTGCAGCAGCCCCCACATCTGTAGACGGACACACATGGAGGTTTAAAGAAGGTGTTTGTGGCCGCTCCAAACTCCTTCCCCACATCTATACACACCTCACGCGGCATGCATTGAGTCTTTCTCCACTCATGATCAATACCTGTCGAGTCATAGGGAAGCCAGTAAGTTACACAGAAGTCACCAAGGGAGAAACAAAGCCTACAGCGTCGGGAAGTTCATCATATATTTTTGTTGTTGTTGTTGGTGGTGGTGGTTGTTTTTATTCTTTGCTCTTTGAGTCATTGAGAGGCCCGCCACCCAGCTCCCAAATGAATCCACTGAGGCTTACTCTTTCTGAAGCTTCCTTCAGTGGGACAGTCGTTGTTGACTTCCTGTTGCCTGGAGAGATGGCTCAGCCATTAAAGGCTAGGCTCACAACCAAAAAATTTAAGAGTTAATCATATTTGACTTGAGACTTTAAGATTTAGTATAAAAAAAATTCAAGAAACCACTGACTGTATGGGAATGTAAAATAAGATTTAGCAGGATGGCTGAGAAAGTTTCCTGTTAAAATGGTTTCTGCAAGGAGGTAACAAAAAAAATTAGAATTAAGTTAAAGATTTAAAAAGTTACACCACTATCCTAACACAAATGTTTGGTTATTCTTGCTTAAAAAAAGGAAAATTTAATATATGGATGTTTACAAGATGTGCAAAAACAAAGCCATGCCCTTTGCCTGGCATGTACAATTTTTGTGGTAATGAAGCAAAAGTAAACAGCGTGTTTTTGCTTTTCTTTTTAAACTGACAAGTAAATGAAAAGAAAAGTATGGTTTCGGAGTCAATTCAAAACTTGTTTTTAAGCAAGCTGTCCGACACTTTTGAATAATGTCATGACAGTAGCTATGTGCAAAACAAGGTTATTTTCCACCTATTACAACTTGTAACCTAAACTGACTCTTTTCAGGAAAATCAAATTTACTATTCCCTTCACATGCTTTCTCTTGGATGTTTGCTTCCATAAGTTGTTGGCTTACCTGTGATACTCTTGACTCTACTATATTAAAAATGATGCAGTTTCTAAGTGCAGTAGTTTACATCTTCCATATTTTCTCTAAAGTAACACTTTTTAAGGATAATAAATTGTGGGTTATTCCACCATGATTCCAGTTAATTTGTCTGGTTTTGCTTTAAACATACCTTGCACTATCATATTGTGTGTGTGTGTGTGTGTGTGTGTGTGTGTGTGTGTGTGTGTGTGTGTGTGGTGGGGTGCCACAGAGCTAGAAGAAGACTCGGCTCCTCTATCATTCTCTATCTTGTCTTGAGATAGGTTTTCTCAGTGAGCCAGACACTAAGCTGGCTGACGACCTAGTTCACAGGACTTTCCGATGTCTGTTCTCTGCAATGCTGGGGCTATAGGCACCTGTAGCTATGCTGGGGATTCAAACTCAGGTCTTTGTGCTTGCAGAGCAAGCCGTCTTACCTATTGAGTCATCTACCTGGACCCAAGTTAAACTTTAAAACACAGAAATATTCAAAACTAAAGAAAGGTTTTTCTTAATTGGCCTGTCCACTCATGTTACATCATTTTACATAACATCATAATTTTTTTGTGAAATGTTATGGTGGCTATTTAGCTACTTCATAAAAGGCCATTCTGAGTCAGTTATCTCTGAGGTAACATGACAGAAAGTAGCTTTCGGAAGGTGGTGTGGGTGAGCAACTATTTTTCTTTCATTACTTTCAAGTGTGTGTTTGTCTGTCTGTCTGCCTGTTTATGAAAATAGTGCCCAGAGTTTTATACATCTTATGCACAATGAATAAATGTTCTAGCACAACAGTGAAATTGAGCATGTTTAAATTGAAATAAAAAAAGAAAATTCATGCAATGCTGTTTTTCTTAAAATATCCATTTTCTTGAGATACAAACAATTAAATTAACCAAAGTAGCTAAAACAAATTAACACAGTACTAGAAAATTTATTTAAGTGTTTTCAAATGTTTACAGTGGACTATTGTCTCAATTCTCAAAATAAATGTGTGTTCATATGCATGTGTCTCCTAGCTATGAATTTCAAGAAATCATCTAACTATGTAAAAAGAATTCCCCAAGTGTTTTTTTTTTTTTTTTTTTTTTTTTTTTATATGAGGGCATGTTGGCCTAGAACAATAATCCCAGCCGAAGCTGGTGCATTTCTCTTTTTTATTTGAAGCCACATCAATGGCTCTGAGGTGACTATGCCAGCATTTTTGTTTCTCACCCCAGTGTTTTTTTTTTTTTTTTTCCTG